AATGGGGGGTCAGCAGTGAACCCTGAAGCTGTGAAGGAGCTTGAGGGGGAGATGTGGGATGGGGAGATATGGGAATGGGGAGGGGCCTTGTCTGCTCCCCTTCCCCAGCTCTTCCAGCCTCCAGGTGGAGGGCAGCTGCAGGTGTCAGCAGCCTGTACCGTTCCCACAGTGGCTCCCAGAGGACAGCTGGCTGGTGGCCCTGGCTGCAGGCATGATCAGCAGCGTAGCTGTGGTTGCAGTCATGACCCCTTTCGATGTGGTCAGCACTCGGCTATACAATCAGCCTGTGGATGGAGCTGGCAAGGTGAGCAGGGGACCAGGTGGTGAGGATGCAGGGAGCTGGAGAGCACCCCAACACACACACAGCCAGAGACACAGACACGTGACATACACGCAAACACATTAGCTCAGTCTATATGCTGAGTGCCGGCTCCCCGGCACATGCTGAGCACTTTTGCAGCTGGATTTTATTCCGTCCTCACAACCACCTTCATTTTCCTGATGAGGAAACTGAGGCTCAGAGATAACAAGTAATTCGCCTGATGTCACCCAGCTGGTGAGTGGAGGAGCCTGACCTGGAATCCAGGCCTGACCTCACAACCTCATAGACACACACCGGCCATCACATGCACTGGCACATCATGGCCTGATACACAGGTGCCCTCCACAGGCGGAGTTAGGGAGGAAACCCACCTGTTTGCCACCAGCCAGGCTGAGCCCTTGGCATGGGACTGTGGCTGCCTAGAGGAAGAGATCCCTTTTTTAATTTTGCAACCTAAAGGGCCATCTTTCTAGCTGGGGGAAGTGCCTTTTCTGATGTGCCCCAGAGACCTTTACACACAAACAGAGCCTGTTGTGCCAGCCAGGGCCCCACATGTGATGCCCACCCCATGTCTGTCCCCAGGGCCAGCTGTATGGGGGCCTCGCTGACTGCCTGGTGAAGATCTGGCAGCAAGAGGGCCCCCTGGCGCTCTACAAGGGTCTGGGCCCCGCCTACCTGCGCCTGGGCCCCCACACCATCCTCAGCATGCTCTTCTGGGATGAGCTCCGGAAACTGGCCATGCGGGGCCAGCACCAGGACACCTAGGCGGCGTCCCTCACCCCGAATCCTGGTGCAGCCTGGCGTCCTGCTCCAACTGGGAATGCCACCTCAGAGCCAGCCACAGGCCCAGGGAAAGTGTGGACAGTGCTGGTCAGCGCAGGCCTGTGGCCCACCACTCCACTCACTCT